ACTCAATTTCAAAATACCAGCCCCAACTTTATAACAAACATATATTTCTAGAAATGTATCCACAAAGGCCAGCATGAAGTTTTTCTGTCTTTTCTGTACTTTAAAATACATTTGGAAATGAGCACAAGAAATGGATTAAGAACAAGTGGTTGTCTAATGCTGAGAACAGATTTTTTGTCCTGGGAAAATTTTCCAAGCGCAGTTCATCCACTTGCAAAAAGAATTTCCAGAAGACTGCCAGGAACAGATTTTAACTCGTTCATCCTTGCTTTTAATAATTTATTTCATAAATTCCTCTCAATTCTTCACATGTCCTGCACTTTGGAAATCTAAAAAGTGTTCACAGCCCCTCAAGTTATGCCATTGGTGAAAAGAATGAAGGGTTACGCATCAGGAGAGCTGTTCCAATGCATCACCAATGACTTCTCTACAGCATGGTGCTTCCTGCACCCCCAGGAGAGACCTCACAACATCCCAAGCAACACAACTTAGTCTGGAAAATGACACAAAATGCTGGTAGAACATGGGCACATGATGGGTTTAGGGCCATAACCAGTTTGGCTACAGGGGGGATTTTTCACAGTCCTAAACAATCCTGCTATTCTGTCACTTCATCCAGCTTCTCAGTGAGTCTGAGTAAATACACCAACAACCAACCAGCCAACTGACCAACCCCAGGGGCAACATCTGGGAGAAGTGACATCCACGGAAGAACAGAACCTTTCAGCTGAAGCAAATCTCAAATTTATAATAAAAGACCATTTAGCACCAGAGTTTATAAAAAAATAGCCCTCACAGATGAGCTATCAACAGTTGCAGAGGGCACAGTAGGTGTATTCAAGAATGTGGATAAGCTGTTGCCCTCTCTGCTCTTAACAGATTTGGGAATTAATTAATTACAGTTCATTTGCTGGTACCTCCACAAATGCTCAGGAAGGTCTTGAGATAAACCTTTGTGGAGTGTCTCACTTAGCACTTCTAAAGGTGGAACTAATTGATTTCCATTCAAATATGACCAACTAAAACCTTCACACTTGCTAATCATTGCACTCCACACGCGCTTCCTCCGTGACTTCCTAAGGCAATTTCAGAGATATAAATTAGCAAGGGTTAATTAAAACCCAATATTTTCACTTTTCCTGTAAACCAGGAGTTCCACCAACCTGGTAACGTGACAATAACACACTGGCCTTTGGCTAGCCAGGATGTTGCATGATCTTCATGTGCCAATTAATCACAAAGGGATAATTTTACTTCTTGCCTTTTTCCAATTACCCCTGAACATTTAGAACCAGTAACACTGTCAAGAGTTTTGCCATGACATCCAGAAACCCAAAGGTATTTTCACAGACACTTAAGAGAGTCAGTCATTTTTAGCTTACTCAAGTAGTCTACCACTCATGAATGGAAGAGAGAGTTACTTCATCACACTCTGGGTATGTTGTCCTAAAAACTGACATTTCAGCACTGAATTCTGCACATGGGTCTCTTCTGTCAGTGACTTTCTAGAGCTATGCATGACCACCTGCAAGTGAATGTGGTTGATGAGGATGGAACAACTGCAATGAGACAGAAAAAATGTTTATCACCTTGTCAAAAACCATAATTTCATTTACATAAGAATATCTATGATTTAAAAGCAGCCACAAATCCAATGTGTCTGTCAAGTACTGTAAGAATTTAATGATATTTGGAGCCACCAGGACAATTTGAGTCAAAATCTTGTAAAATGTTATTCATTTTTAGATCTACTAAAACAGACATGTTATAGATCTGGACTTCTTATCAGCTGAAATCCTAAATTTTATACAGAAGGGGCAGCCAATAAATGTTCAGGATGACCAAGAGAGAAATAAAAGAGAAATAAGAGATTTAGTTTGCTTTACCTTAGGTCATGTCTTTTTTCCCCTCTTTCTGGTTTTAAATGTTTCCTTTATACAAAATGCCATGGTTCAGCACACTTGAAAATTAAAGACTACCAAAGATCAAGGTTTGAGTCCTTCCATTCATGAAAGGAAATTAAAATCATCACTAAGAGCATCACTTTTTATTATTCTGATATAAACCACTCAGAAAACACCAAAAAGAAGAAGCATACTCAGTATTTAATAGGTTGTTTTGCCTTTCTGTATTTATTTATTAATAATAAATTTCTCTATTATTATTAGAATTTATTAAAAGATGTGTATATGAAGAGCTGGCATCAGCAGCCACATTCTGATCTCATGCATTCTGTCCCAATCCCATCTGTCCTGGATTGCAAATTAAGGTAAGGTAAATATCCAGGCACAAACGGTAAAGGAAAATCCAAGGGATTAACAAGAATTAAATGATTCTGAGGCTAGTTAAATTATATGGGATATTTAATGGTTGGACTGGCTGATCTTAAAAGCCTTTTCCAATCTTGATAACTCTATGATTAATCTGAACACAATATTAAAAATGTGTAGAGCAAATACATTGAAAGGTGTTTTTCTTTTCCAGCCTGAACAATCCTGACCATTGCTGCCACTGAATTACCCTTGTCATGGCTACAAGAAGGAGCTTCCCACCTAAACTTTCTAAAATTTTATTCATGTTGTTCTTCTGTAACCTACTTTACATTGATTTAATCAAGCTCCTTTAAGCACACACAAACTTAGTTTGCCATTCTTAAAATGTTTTATAATAGCGCATTTAATAAAGCTAATTTAAATCTGCTAATTTATAGAGACTTGCCAGAGGCTTTGAAACTTCAGAAAATGTGTAAACTTAACAGTTTGGCTGTGATAACAACTCAGACAGTGGAAATTAAGCCCTTTGCAATACAGTCATCTTCAAAGTGGATTCCTGGTTTGATTGCAAAAAGGGTACATTGCAAAAATACAGCAGGACACCACTATGCAAAAGGTATTTCAGATGCCCCAGTTCTTGAATTTGGTCATTACTGTGCCTCAACATCACAGCCTCAAACATACACTGAAGTCTCTCATTTTGAGCCTACCTAGATTCTTTTTTACAACCAAGTTTTGGACAAGAGCAGAGTTTCTTATTCAACAGCCCTCTGTCAGAGCTCTGAGAGAGTGCACTTAGGGCCATTAATTCTGGGTCCCTAATTCTGGTTGTCAGTCTTCCAGCTGCTGCTATATAGGTTTGCTACTGTCTGCTCTAATTCCTGCCTTTGAGAACCAAATGATAATGGATTATATGCCAGAGTGGGAATAGGCACATTGGTTGGGATCCAAGCTGTATCCCAGGTGATAACAAGGAGAAGCAGTGAAAAAAATAAAAATAGAATAAAAACTCAGCTCTTCAGTGCTGTATCAGGGAGCTTCATCTCTACTAGAAGAAGTCTTTGTACATAGCATTTAAATGGTAACTAAGTGATCCTTATCATCATCTGATTTGCAGAAAATTGTAGCTTTCCTTGAAGATATAATTGAAATTTTCAGGGCTACTGTTGCAGACCTCTCCCCAGTTTTTCACAAGGGAGAAGGCATTAAAGCTTCCCCCATTAAGACTTGTAGGGTTGCAGATTTTTAAGGGACACAACCTCATTGCTTTGAAGCTTTTTCTTTGAAGCTTTTTCAGTATCTGTTAAGTTCAAGTCGTCCTTTAATTTTTTTCTTCCCCTGCTAATTGCACCAAAATATTCATCAATCTGGAATATATTCTTGGATGGGGTTTTTTAGTCTCTCCTGCTTCAATGCTTTTTCTGTCAGTTCTGTCACTGCTTTCCTTCCTGCTTTTGTGTACTGAGAAACAGAATTAAGGTGTACTAAACAGCCTGCTTTGAATAAAACAGCATGATCTGGGGAGAGGAAAACCACCTTCAGCTCTCCTGCCCAAATGCTAAAACATAGATGAGGTTCATATGTACTATTAAAGCATCACATTTATGCTTTGAGATCACTGAAAGGCTGTGAAGAGCAAAAAAATGTAAATAAACTGAACAGGGAGCATAAAAGCACATCGATCCCCAGGTTCTGAAACCACATTTTAAATGGTTTATATTTTTAATTTATTTAAGACTGTTTCTGGCAAATCCATTAGTAATGAATCTCCTTCACACATTTTTATTTTTATGCACAAGAGCTTTAAGTTTGCCAGGACTTCTGCAAAGCAACTTTTACTGCATCAAATTACTGCATTCCTTGATCTCTCCCAGCACACACAGCAGCCACACTCAAACACAACGTTTAGCTCTGCAACAGACACCTCCAAAACAAGGTATTTCTTCTAAATCAACACAGCTGTGAAAAAGAAAGCAAGCACAATGGTTTTGCCCTGTCCCTCCAGCGTTTTGCATCCGATGTCCACTTAAAATCAGCACGATCCTCCGCGACCCTCGTATCCTAAATCCGTGTGGAACTTCTTCATTGGGTATTGATGCAGAACCGGGAGCTGCCAGCTCCGATCGCTCTCACCAGCACACCAGCTTGAGACTATTTCATAATAGGAAAAGATGGCCAGCGTTTTCCTGACAGAAGTACCATACATTTTTCAGTCAGTAAAAATTACAGAGCTCACTGACGATGCCTTAACCATAGAGAACAAGGACTGCAGATTACCCAGCAAAGATTTTTTTGGGGTTTTTTTTGGTATACACAGAACAAAAAAAACCAGCACAATCTGCAAAACTTATTAACTAATGGGGTTTGAAACCCCCTCTTTGCATGCTGCCGACACGCTCACAGCAACCTATGCATTGATCTTATTCAAAAAGCACAGTAATCTTTATGCTGCTAGAATCTGAGTTCTGCGTGCCGTAGCAGACACTGCAAAGAAAAAGAGAAAAAAAAAAAAAAAGCCTTTAGGAAAGGCATGTGCTGAACACACAAAATATGCAGGATGGAAAAAGACCAAATGTAATTAAAGCTTATATGAAATGAGACATTCCTATTTGCAGAGCTCTGACTGCATCTCTATGAGAAAGAATGCACAGAATTTCAAATCATGCTCTATTTAGACAATGTCAGAAGAAAAAAAACACATTTTCCCCTCCACACACCCCTCAATCCCCCACCTGAAGACCAAAAAGCAAATCTCATCGTCAGAATTAGAGAGAAAAAGCAATCCAAAGAGACTGGTTTACATATTCCTTCCCAAACCAAGTAATCGAGTCTCTCCCTCTCCCGGCTAATAGCTTATAAATACAGACTTTAAACAAAAGCATCCGAGTAAAAAAGAGAAAGAATCCTAATTCTCAAGCTTCCTACTTAGCACTGCCTCGCTTTTGATGATTTGTGCGGCTGTGTGTGCGTGCCTGTTTGAGATATGGCGAGATAGGCTTAAAGTATTTTCCATTTCATCAAAGAGCATATATTACTTTCCTGGTTCGCTCCGATGTTGGTTTTATGCCCACCCCTTTTCAATCTGCCCATGTCTGAGATGCACAGTGCAGGCGTACAATCATGAGCAGCTTACGACACTCAGTGAACACTGGGTGCCTCTGCATGCTCTAGCAACATACTGCTCAGCTGAAGGGAAGGGATTCTTGCTGTCTCTCTCTGCTCTAAGCATCACCTAACAAGCAAAGCGAACAAAGAATGGGAAATAAAGCGACCCTTAGCCGGTCAGTGAATGAATGGTAACCTCTCTCTGGAGTAAAGGTGGTGCCGGTCCATGGTCGTTGCAAATGATGGACATTAAACAGATTGACAAATCCTGTGGAGTCGTTAGTAAAGAGTTTGGAGTTTTTTTCACGCCACAGTGTTAACTGCAGAGGAAAGGACAGAGGGAGAAGGAGAAGATCAAGCTCATGTACATAGTTCTGAAACTTGCAGGTCCTAGGAGGCAGCTCAAAAGCTAGCTGGACAAGCCTTTCGCTCGTTGAGCAGAAGCGAAGTGAGACATTGTGAGCTTGCCAGCCTTGCACAACATTGAAAGGGACTGAATTTGTAGCACAGAGGGGTCTTTTTTAGCTCTGCATATAATTAGTCCAAACACAAAGGAAGCAACTGAATGGAGGTTGTCACTCTCTGGAAAAGGGTGGGTAAGACACTTTTTAATTAAATTCTTTCATGAAGAAAGATTTTTTTTTTTCTTTGCTGCAGCATTTAACATGAACAAAATCACTATCATTTTACCTTTGAATGTCTGTGAACTTTAATGCTGCACAGCTCCTGCATGCTGTAAAGTGAAATATTTGCCTCTGTGTTTGTTCTGTTTGCTGTTTTGCTTTGGTTTTCGGGCTTTGTCTCGTTGGTTTGCATTTTTTTATTTTTTTTTTCCTCCCTTAAATAAAATATGATGTAGAATTTGAAAAGATTCAATGGACATTCTCAAGCATATTTGGAAATATTCTTGCTAATGGATTTCCTTCTTATTGGTCTCTGTTTAAACTGGCTGCTGAGGAAGCCCCCGGGGTTGATATTGTGTACGCTGGGTATCTTTTCTAAAATGCTTCCAGCTGTGAATAGTGGGTGTCCACAGCTCTGTCGGTGTGAGGGCAGGCTTTTGTACTGTGAATCACTGAATCTCACAGAGATGCCTCGCAACCTGTCGGGCATGATGGGCTTGTCTCTGCGGTACAACAGCCTTTCAGAGCTGCATGATGGACAGTTCACAGGGTTAATGCAGCTCACGTGGCTCTATCTGGATCACAATCACATTTGCTCAGTGGAGGGGAATGCCTTTCAAAAATTGCGGCGAGTTAAAGAGCTCACCCTGAGTTCCAACAAAATAACCCAACTGCCCAACACCACTTTCCGCCCCATGCCAAACTTGCGCAGTGTGGATTTATCGTACAACAACCTACAGTCTTTGGAGCCTGACCTGTTCCACGGGCTGAGAAAACTGACAACTTTGCACATGCGGTCGAACGCCATCAAGTTCGTGCCAGTGAGAATTTTTCAGGACTGTCGCAGCCTGAAGTTTCTAGACATAGGATACAATCAGTTAAAGAGCCTGGCTCGAAACTCTTTTGCAGGCTTGTTCAAACTCACTGAGCTGCACCTCGAGCACAATGACTTGGTGAAAGTGAATTTAGCTCATTTTCCCAGGCTCATCTCCCTGCACTCCCTCTGCTTGCGGAGGAATAAAGTCACCATCGTAGTAAACACTTTGGACTGGATATGGCAACTCGAAAAGATGGATCTCTCTGGCAACGAAATCGAATACATCGAACCTCACGTTTTCGAAAGTGTACCTCATCTCAAATCCCTGCAGCTGGACTCCAACCGGCTGACCTACATCGACTCCCGAGTCCTCGACTCCTGGAAGTCCCTCACGAGCATCAGCCTCTCCGCCAACGCCTGGGACTGCAGCCGGAACGTCTGCGCCCTGGCCTCCTGGCTGAGCAACTTCCAGGGTCGCTACGACAGCAACCTGCTCTGTGCCACCCCCGAGTACGCCCAGGGAGAGGATGTTTTGGACGCCGTGTACGCCTTTCACTTGTGCGAGGACAACGCCGACCCCACGAGCGTCAACACCTTCTCCCCGGTGACCAACAACAGCGAGCAGACGCTCGGCTATGGCTCGGCCACCGCCACCTACGACGCGCCCGAGGGCGACGAGGACCGGACCACGTACGCCGTCACCATCACCATGCCCGGCGAGAACTCCGAGAACGCCGTGCAGATTCACAAGGTGGTGACGGGCACCATGGCACTGATTTTTTCCTTCCTCATCGTGGTTTTGGTGTTGTATGTCTCCTGGAAGTGCTTCCCAGCCGGCTTAAGGCAACTAAGACAGTGCTTTGTCACACAGCGCAGGAAGCAGAAGCAAAAACAGACCATGCACCAAATGGCTGCCATGTCAGCCCAGGAGTATTACGTTGATTACAAACCCAACCACATTGAGGGAGCCCTGGTGATCATTAATGAGTACGGATCTTGTTCCTGTCACCAGCAGCCAGCGAGGGAATGCGAGGTGTGATTTTCCTTTGGGATTTAAACAGTGTGCAACCAAATAACAGCGTGCAGGCAGACAGTGGCACGGGGTGGGGGGGTGGTGCTGGGCTTTGCTGGTGATTTCTGACGTGCACCCCTGCCCAAATTGTTTAAGAGGGGCTGTCCAAGAGACTTGATATTTTAGCTTTATCGTGTCTTAAAAACCTTCAGGACAGCCAATCTTAAGGTTTCATATGCTAATACTCCCTTTGAAGATCTGTCAATATTCAGGAATCTGAGAGTGTAAAAAAAAGGTACCAATTATTGATCTTTTGTAAACTAAGAAAACTTTAAAATAAAAAAAAAAAAAAATAGCATTTACAGTTTTTACAGACTGGTGTATATTACATGAATGGCTCCCTGTATACAAAATGCAACAGTTTAACCTCTCTCTCTTCATGCTGAGTGTTGAAATGAAAAGTCGAGGAGCAAAGAAGCCATGTAAAATAGAAAGCTTAAAATTGTCCAGGTGGCTTCCCATTGTAATTAGCACACATTCACATACATCATGCTGCTGAAGATATGAAGCATGACACTGGAATTCTATTTTTGTTAATGTGCTACCTGTAACTGGACGTCAGTACAACAAGGAGCAGAGCTCCTCAGAAAGGCTGAAGTTTTGACCATGTCCCTAGGACAGGATTTCTGAGGATTTTTAAGTACAGCTCACTTGTTAGTTGCTGTTAGATCCATAAAAAATGCATTATGACCCATAAAAGTATTTTGTATCAAAACTGATCATGTTGCAAAGACTCACTAAAAGAAAACAACCAACAAAACCCAAACAAGTGAAACACTGCCAAAATGTGCTCATCAGAATTTTCTTTACTGTAAAAAAATTTGCTAAATTTAAGGGCTTTTATATGCATTTCCCACTTTTATGCTTGTTTTGAGCTATGCCAACAGCAAAGAGCCCCTCGTTTTGTGCCCTGTGGTGCCATGGTGAATGGATAAGAGAAAAAACAATTATTTGGGTCTAAGTGGTGAAGCTCAAGAGCAAAACCACTGTCAGGGTAGGACAGAGAGTTTTCAGAGCACCCTTCTGGGTCCTGTAGCAAAGTGCTGGCCAAGCCCAGCTCGTGTTCCTCCCTTCCACCACCGGCCTTCACTAACAAACAACCCCAAAACCTCTGCAGAGGCTGGAGGCAGATGTACCCTCCTTACTAAGGACTGAAAAATGGCATTGATGGATATAAGCAGTGATTTCATGATGTAGAATCCCACAGCTGTTTTATCTGACTGCCCTTAAATAAAGGCTTCCTTTCCTTGTATTTTGGATTTTTCATTCCAGAATGTGAACAAGCAACCGATTGATTTTCTCACCAGCTCCTCTCATACTAATTGACGATGAGGGAGTTTTATAACATCAAGGCAGAGCATCTTGATATTTTCTTCCCACAGCACTACATGTGAATAAAATGTTATGGATAATGAACTGGGTGACATTTCAATGCTTTGTACATGTTTCTCTATCCTCAGGTTACCACCCAGAGAGGATCAATTCCAAAATCTTACTTGTATTTTAATGTAACACAGGTTTTGGTTTTTTTTTCTTTTTCATTGCATTAAAGTGCTACCTACTCTTACAAGGGTACAGCAGGCTTATAAAGCAGAAAATAGGCACAGAAGAAATATTTTTTTTTCTTGCATAGCAGGTTTTAGCCATTAATTTTAAATGTAAAGGGTGAATTTTATTTTTTTTTTATGACTGAAACTATTTTTAAGGAATCAGAACTTATTTTCCTCTATCTGGTACATGTCCTACTGTGTATTATAAAACATAAAAATAGCCTCTTAATCAAAATTTTTACTCAGTGAGACTATAATTTCATCTGTCAAATGATGGAGAGGACAGTTTCACAGAAAATTTAATGAAAATCAGCTGCTTTTTTTTTTTTTTTTCCTAAAGCCACTGCAAATTCACCCACAGCTTTCAAACAAGCAAGCACTGTTAAACCCAGGCTTTTCTCTCTTTTAACAAATGCACATTTCTCTCTCTGTGCCTCAAGCCCACAAGGGCCTGATCCATCCTGCAACTCCCAAGTGACCTGAGGGGTTGAGTGTCCATGTACAAACCTGACAGGGAGGGCAGAGGGAAGGTTCAGAGCCCCTCGTCTCTTTGGGCTCCTGACTGTATTTGAAGCAAAAGTACTTTATTCCATGCTAACCCAGGGCCCAGCTATATTTATTTTCCCCATTAAACCCTTCTCTGAAATCAATAGGAAATTTAACTGTGAAAAATTGGCTCTCTAACTTTGGACTGGGCTATGTGTTCCCCGAGCCCCCAAGCAGCACTTGGTTACAGCCACTTGCCAGGAAGCTTCCAAAGTCAACCAAGGTTGTTAAAATATTGTCTGCATATGGTATAATGAAATATGAACTGCCTTTATTTTGATAATGAGCCCCTGTTGCTATCAGGAAATGTGTTGGTGCAGTCATGGTTTTACCCCTGTGAACCTGAGACAAGCCTGATACCAACAAACAATCATCCCGTGGTTGTATTTCCGTGTATTTTTAGCATTTTTGTGGGTTGTATTTGAAACACACGAGTGATTGCACCCCTCTGGAGTTATCCCTGCTGTTTATTGGTGTTAGCAACCTCCAGCTACGTTTGCAAAGACGTGAGCAACTCTGCCTTTGGAATTTATTCACCTCTGTGCTCCATGCATCTGGCATTGACAGCCCAAGTAAACTGAACAGAGCATTTTTCTTTGAAGGTGCAGTGACTTCTTGAGTGAGAGCTGATTTGGGGTTTGCCTGTTGCCACTTCTCCTGGAGAGAGGTGATGCCCACCAATGACTTGCCACCCTGAGCAGGATGATGGATGGATCCCTCCATGGAGAGCACAGCACTTATTAAAGGATCTATTTCAAAATCCTCCTGCAGGAATCTTTTCCAAGGGTAATCCCTTCTAAAGACAACCTCCTGGTGATTCCCAGAGGATTTCTGGAGATCTTGACACCCTCTGAATATTTACTGGAGAAAAGAGGGTGTCACTGCTGTTACGTGGCATGAAGGCACTCCACAGGGTGCCCACATCCAGGCTGAAAGTCTACGTGAAATTTGTGTGGGTAATACAGAAATCAAAGAGCCTGGATGTCATTCCAATCCAGCTACTGCAAATCCAGTTATTCATCCTGCTCCAGGCTACTTGCATTGGTGTATATGAGAGTTATTATATTTGTACTGCATTCAGAGCAACTGAAGGGACAAATTTTCCCTAATTCTTTCTTCCAAATTTCATGTTCAACAACTGCCCAGAGATAAGTTATTTCCTCTCTTTTGATGCCCTTATTCTGGCCTATTAAATGGCTCCAAAATAAAGCTGAAGAAAAAAAAAGAAAAAAAAAAAAAGATGCTTTTGGGGTGAGTTGTGAACACTGTTTTGTCCATGAAATGCTTGGGGAATATCAAAGGAAGGGAAATATTTTAAATACTCCCTTTTTGATGTTCCACTTAGTAGGACTAATCTCCCTTTTATAATTAGGTAATTAACATTATTTTTTATAATTATATATATATATATATATATATTTAACTGTCTGTTTGCACACAACACAGGGTAAAAGGCAAGCAAAAGCTCTACCTTTCCTGAAGCTGGTTAACAGTACCAGTGTTACAAATGTCTAATATGCATTCTCTTGCTGCTAACATCAATACCCACTCACAGTGCACCCAGAGCTGAAGGAACTGTTGCTGTGTATGCTTTGAATGTATATAAGGGATGATTTATTTTCCTTCCTGCCTCTTTTTTTTCCTTCCTTTCTGTACTACTTTTAAAAAAAAAATTATATGAAACCACAGAACCAATGCTAATGTACCACATTCTGTTTCTGGCCTGAAAATATAAAATACAAAGAAATTCTGTTAAAGCTGCCAATTCCCTCCTTTGCCATGTCTGGGTGCTGCAGGGGGTGAGCCCAAGGGATGAGCCATTCCTTGTGGTCAAAGCAAGGATGCTCTGTACCAGGCTGACACAGCCCCCTGCATACCTGTGCCACAGAAAGACCATGAACCATCCCCTAAGGATATTTTTGTATGCTTTAATATATTCTGTATGTTTTCATGGCTAAGGCATTGAGGGGTAGTTGAGTCTGTTTGATAATTTCCTTTAGTTCTGATAAAAAAAAAAAAAAACAAAAACCAAAAGAACAACCAACCCTCATTTGCTTTTGAGATGGACTACATTTGCTCCTTGTGTGAGTCTCATTCTGCATTAACAGCAAAAGGACTCTCTGAGTCCCCCTTCCTCCCCCCTCCAGCTTCTACAGTGGTATTCAGAATGGCAAAAAGGGAGTGTTTAATGAGGAAGCTCATTTCTAGTGCTATTATAATAATAATAGCAGTGATAATAATGAAATTAGGAGGAGACAAAAGATAAGAGGAAAGACTGGAGTAATGGCAACCAAATCAGGGTGTTACTGGATTCCTCTGCCTTTTCCTTTTGTAAAGATGGTTAACCTAAAGAGGCAGCACAGATGAAAAAGCAAGACTGAGGGTGGGTGGAGAAAGCAGTTTTAAAAACTGTGCAAGCAGGGATGAAACAGCTTCTGCAAAGGAGGGTACAACACTAAATAGCTCCATTCAGCAGGAGAGAGAAAAGGAAGGGATGAAGGGATGGGATGAAAGGGAAGACGAGAGCTGGTGAGAAGGCAAGGGGGGTACTGTGCACACATGGGAAATGAGATTTTTCTGTGCCTTCCCCTCCCACGTTCGGGCTGTGGCAAGGACAACAGCAGGGATTTAGGGAAGATGCCCAGCATCTCTCTCTCTCTCTCCTTGCCTTTCCCAAGAGTGCAGGGAGGGAGGCACAGTCGGACACGCTTCCCCAAACACACGTGCCTGCAGCCCCGTCATTTCCACCTCCCTGTTCCCTGGGAGCACAATGTCCCCCTCATCCATCACGCTGCCTGCTCAACTCCTGCACTGTGCCTCTGCCACCGATTTTTTTGGCTGGATTTCTTAGCTATCCTAGTCACAGTTCACCACAGACTTGCTAGAAAAGAGGACTTTTCTACCCAAAATATCTTTTTTTTTTTTAAGAAACCCTCATCCAGAGGGATGGGTGATCTTGAGCTACTGCGGATTCTCCTGCTAATTATATCTACACTCATAGTCAGCTTTCACATTCACAGCTCTAATGACAAACAGATCTGAGATATTTTTGCTGTGTTCAATTTACCATTATGCACCAAGGTTATACTTTTCCTTGACCTGCTCAACCCAGTCTAATATTAACAAATTGAGCATTTATGCGGATTCCTTTCCAAGCATGAAGTTGATTAGGAATTTAGGAAATGCTGGTGATTTAAAGATTAACCTTTCATATAATTACTGCCATAAACCAGAGCTATTAGGGTATTAGAAACAACTATTCAGAGCATATTCTACATTAAAAAACAAATCACATTTAGAGCCTTGTGAAAGACTTTCCATGCCAGACAATTTTTTTTAATTTTTTTTTTTTTTTTTTTTTTTTAAACAGCAGAAGAAAAACCTGGTGAAAGGAAAGGAGTAAGCACAGCCTACCTCTAAAGTTATGGGGAGGAAAGCAAAGCTATAAAAATAATACAGAAACCAAGCAACAGTCTTCTGCTGGCAAGACACAGCTTGTAATTGGGTGGGTGGCTGTGAAGAGCTGAGATGAATGCTGCAGAGCACTGTAATTTTATTGCACCCTGTCTGCTCTAAAGTGAACATATTTGCAATGAAATCTGTATTTCCGTGAGAACAGGGCAATTGGGGGATTTTTTTGTTGTTTTTTGGGTTTTTTTTAAAAGATGGCGTCACTTGTTGGCATTCAGGCACAATTCTTGAGGCTTTAAAGCAATTACTGTTCTTACTGGCCTTTGCTGGGGTGATAGCTGGGGGAGACAGTCAAAGGGAAGAGGAAAAGGAGTTTGAGCTCCAAGTCCCAGATTTGCATCACAAGAGAAGAAATTCAGTTGAAAATAAACACCAGCTTTTCACCTTTTTCTCCATCTCTCCTCTTCCTAAAAATCCAAATATGCACATTGCTGATAAAAATCAGGGATAGGTGGCAGTGGCTAAAGGATTTATACTATGCACATCTGTGCTTGGCAAATGGTACCTACTATTCTGCTAAGGCACTTTTATTTTAAATCATTTCCCTGCTCTCATGTTCTTCACATCCTCACCATACACAGTAACTACTGCCAGAAAGATGTCTTTCAACACGGGTGCTATGGGAACATGACCAATTCCCTTCAATTTCTGAGCTAACAAAGACTAAATCCACGATTGCAAAGGC